AGAGGCAGCCCCTGCCCCCCACTCACCCCTAGAAGGTGGCCCCCCACCCCCCGACTCACCCCTTGAAGGCCACGGGCAGGATGTGCAGGTCCCCGCTGATGGTGGTGCAGTTGCGGAAGTGCCTGATGTTGGTGGCGTTGATGGACAGGGTGTCTCTAAACTCCCCGATCCCTATCCCGTTGCACACTGTGGGGAGAGGGACACGCAATCCCGTTCATGCCTGGGGACCTGAGCAGGCAGGGGGCCCAGGGGGAGGGGCGGGGCGGGAGCGAAGCCGTGAGACTGTCACTGCCCAACCATCGCCCATTCACTTAACACACACTGATGGAGGCCCGGAGCCACGGCGGGTTCCAGGGACAGAGGTCAGAGAAGGACACGCGGTCGCCGTCCTCACTGGACTATGTCCCCTCCTCAGTGTCTCCCACGGGGACCAGGGCCTAACGGCAGGGGATCCCCTTGCCCTCCTTTGTCAGCGCTGACCTGTGTGGGGCTCCCATTGGTACCCTAACCACACCTCCGCCTTCCTACCACCCTGAGCTGGCTGTGGCCTTGTCTTCCATCTTAGAGAAAACACACACACGGTTTTTTAAATCAAAAAGCAAGATGCAGTCCAGCCAGTGTGGCTCAGTGGTTGAGCATTGACCTATGAACCCAGGAGGTCACAGTTCAATTTCTGGTCAGGGCACATGCCCGGGTTGTGGGCTCCATCCCCAGTGTGGAGCGTGCAGGAGGCAGCCAATTAATGATTCTCTGTCCTCATTGATGTTTCTATCTCTCTCTTCCTCTCTGAAATCAATTAAAAAATAATAAAAAAAAGATCAGTGAGTTTGTGCGTGGGGCCCATGGATGCCTCCTGTACAATGATCGCACTTTCGGGGTCTGTGTGTGAAAATTTACAGAATAAAAGATAAAGTAGGGGGTCAGCAGGGATAGGTTGGCCTGGAGGGTACTCCAGGGACAGGGCACGGAATAAAGGAAGGAAGGGATTGCTGAGCCGGAGAGAGAGTCACCGGAACCTCTCCCAGTGCCGCCGAGGAGCCTGGCGGGGCCGGGGCACCCAGCCCAGGACCGGGGAGGCCGTGTCCCCACGCTGCGCCCACGCGGGCTCCTACCTTTGCGACAGGGCCCTTCGCACTTCTTGCACTTGCGGACGCCGTCTTCCTCCACCTCATGGCTGTCGGAGCTGCAGGCCCGCACGCAGGAGCCGTGGTCGGTCACCACGTAGTTCCCTGTGGCGGGGGGAGGGCGGGGAGGCAGGTGTGAACACAGCGCCAGGTGTCTCTGGGGTCGTGTCCTCCTGAATCGTGGCCGATGACAGGGCCCGTCATCCTCTCATTTTGTTTATTTTAAGGACAAAGAAGGGAAGGCTGCAGACTGAAAAGGAATCGCGCTCAAGAGCTTTCATCGCGTCCCAGGCCCTGATGGCAAACAGATCCTCCTCCCAGGCGGAGCGGATGTGCGGGAGCCGCTCCCCCCAGGCTTAGAGCTCTCCTCCCCGCTCTTTTTTTTTTTTAGGTTTTACCTCCAGGACTTATGATCGAAGCTCGAATCTTTATTAAAAATATGTGAGCCCAGCTGGTGTGGCCCAGAGGTTGAGCGTGGACCTATGAACCAGGAGGTCAGGGTTCGATTCCGGTCAGGGCACAGGCCCGGGTTGCGGGCTCTCTCCCCAGTGTGGGGCGTGCAGGAGGCAGCCGATCCATGATTCTCTCTCATCACTGATGTTTCTCTCTCTCTATCCCTCTCTCTTCCTCTCTGAAATCAATAAAACTATATTAAAAAAAAATAGGCGAGCCTGAACGACAACTCCGCTCCCCTCAACGCGGCCCCGAGGCTGGGTTTACTCCCGGGGCTGTGGCCTGCCTCGCGGCCTGCGCCTGGCGGGGCCTCTGGCAGCTGGTCCGGCACCTCCGCCCTCTCCTGGCCCCTCGCCTCACGGTGCACATGGGGCTCGTGTCCACACAGACGTCATTCTCTCCAGGGGCCTCCGCCTGCTTGGGCCCCAAGCCGACCTCACACACCTCCCCGTGCTGCTCATCCTCCTGGGACGCGCCTGCTGCGTCCGGGGCTCTGTGCTTCCTCTGGGTTGTCACCCCCTCGCCAGCCCTCTCTCAGGACCACGTCTGCCACATCGGGACGAGGACTTCCTCATCCCGTCACTCCCTGCCCGTGGCCATCCCTCCATCTCCCTGTCATTTTCTTCTGCCCAGAAGGTGAACATTCTCATCCCCGCAACCCGCAGAGCTCTCCCTCTGCCGCTGCTGTAGACGCTTCTCCTCGCTCCCTCTCCCCTGGGAAGTCAAGGCCGGTCCTAAGCGCGTTAACTAGACAACCCTGTGCTTCCGCTATGCGGCCGGGGCTGCTGTCACCACTTCCTAGAGCAGCGGACCAGTCGCTGCATATGCAAATAAGCAAAACCCAGCGACGGCAACAAAACAGCAGGCGACAGTCCCCCCAAGGGCCCAGGCCCCCTCTATCCACTGAGCAAAGGCAGCTCTGACACCCCCTGCTGGGGCCTATCACACACCTCCCTCCTGGGTGCAGCAGCCCAAGGGCGAAACGGCCCAGGGGCTGCGGGGTTAGGCCCACCGGACAGCTCACTGCCCTGGACCTCAGTTCCAGGTGCTGCCCAACACCTGCGGCAGCGACCTACCCATCACCTGCGGCATGATCTACCCTCACCTGCGGCACGACCTGCCCCGTCAACTGCGGCATGACCTACCCTCACCTGGGGCATGACCTACCCTCACCTGCGGCAGCGACCTACCCTCACCTGCGGCATGACCTGCCCCGTCACCTGTGGCATGACCTACCCTCACCTGCGGCAGCGACCTACCCTCACCTGCGGCAGTGACCTACCCATCACCTGCGGCATGACCTACCCTCACCTGTGGCATGACCTATCCATCACCTGCATTCGGATGGGCCCTGGCCACATGCCTGACAATGAGGCACACGCCGACCAGACGCTGCCTGAGCTGGGGACTCGGGGTTCCCGTAGGAGGCGCACGGGAAACGGATGCTGGAGCCTGAAAGGGCGTGGCGGGCGAGGACTCACGGGGACACTTCTTCACACAGGTGGCGCCGAAGCTGTATTTGCCGTCGGGGTTGACGTCCATCTGGTAGGTGGTGGGGTTGTACAGCATGAGCGGCGGGCAGGTGTCCTTGCAGGTGGCGCCGTCCCGGAACCGGCGGCAGACCTGCGAGAGGCATGGACACGGGACATCGGAGGAGCCGCCTCGCTGTCCCGGACCTCGGACCGGGTCATGTTAAATGGGCGACCACTTTGGGCCTAAAGGACATTGCTTCCCAGAGCGCTGTGAGCAGACAGCGAGGGAGCAGAGGCGGACAGTGAGGAACAGTGTTAGCGTCCGTGTCACCATGGCAGCTTTTCTGCCAATAGCGAGCCCTCCTGCTCTGGATGCATAAAACCCACGGCTTGGTCTCCTCCTGGGACACTGGGCTTCTGCCTGAATCAGCGCTTCCCAAATCTCGTTCTCTCTCTCTCTCTCTCTCTCTCTCTCTCTCTCTCTCTCTCCCTCTCCCTCTCACGTTGAAGCCTTTCATTTTTGCTGACCGGCGCAGGTGCGCGGAGCGGGCCGTTGGGTTCTGTCCGGAGGCCTCAGTTACGCTCCGGTGCTCGCTTAGAGCGGACGACCCAGCGCCGTGCGTGGCACAGCCGGAGAGACCGTCCTCTCAGGAGCATGGCTTTTCTGAAACACGTGTCCCAACTGCGAGCCTTATGATTGTGGGGAGAGGAAAATGCATGTCTCCATTAGTGGGCAGAACGACACAGAGCTCGCACGCTGGGCGGGAACCTCGAGGGTGTTCTGCTCACACTCCATTCACGCCAGCTGCCTTTACAGAGGACACTGCGGGTGTGGTTCAGGGTACTGCCCGCCGCAGGGGCCCTCGCCTGGCAGCGTGCCGCCTGCAAGGACCAGGCCAAACGGGGCGCTGCCTTGCAGCTCGCCCCCTCCCGCCGTCGCTGACTGCAGGGCTTATACCAGCCTGGGGCTCAGGACTTCCAAGGTGCTCACCCTCGGGGGCAGCTGCATGGGCCCCATCACCCCCCAGGCAACACGGATTTCGTTAGGGCGTCCTGCAGTCCCGGGACAGACAGGAGCACCCCAAGACCGCCTGCGTGGGGTGCCGGCAACCTCTGAGCCGTGGTGGGAAGAGCAGAGCCCTCGGGGCCCTGGGCCCCGTCTAAGTCTCTGCGGCTCATTCCCCTTAACGATAAACCACACATATTTAGTCCTCGGTGTTCGTTCTATGCCTAGGGCCTCGTACGAATGTCACGTGGACCATTTAACAGAGAGGCACTCTACCCACCACCATCAGCCAAGGAGACCGGAGCACAGAGGTCACAGCCGCGGCCCAAGGTCACAGAGGGAGGGGGGAGGCAGGACGATGACAGAGGCTCTGGTCCCAGGAAGGGCGGCGTCCTCGCCCGCTACCACAGACGGTAATCCACACACCGCAGCCACGGAAGCCGCCCACGGGGGCTGGGTGGGGGGCAGTGCCCGGGAGGCTGGGGGCAGCGGGCCTTACCAGGCGGTCGCTCTCGCGGGGCCCCGTGCAGCCAGCGGCACACTGGTTGTGGCAGCAGTCACTCGGGGACTTGCCCCGGCAGCGGCCGGAGCACTGCTGGGCGCAGATGGTCTTGGTCACTGAAAAGGAGCACAGGTCACGGTGAGCCGGGAGCGGGGGGGGGGGGGGCCCCCAGGGACACCCTGGAGCACATGGGGGAGGGCTGGGGGGTGGGAAGTGATCAGGGAGGGACCTCGTTCAAGCTCCCGGACACCCCCGTTCTGCCAGACTAAACCCAGTCGTGACCGTTCTGACGGCGCCTCAGTCTCCCTTATTTTTTGTTGTTGCTGCTACTCTTCACCCAAGGATAGTTTTCCATGGATTTTTAGAGAGAGTGGGAGAGACAGAGAGAGAAACATCGATGTGAGAGAGACACATCGATCGGTTGCCTCCTGCACGCCCCTGACCACGGCTGGGGAGTGAGCCTGCAACTGAGGTACGACGTGCCCTTGACTGGAATCGAACCCAGGACCCTTCAGTGCATGGACTGACGCTCTATCTACGGAGCCACACCAGCCAGGGCTTCCTGCTTGCTTTTAATCACTGGGGAGAACTGACCAGGTGAAGTCTAGACCTCTAGAGCTGCTAAGCCATTAGCTACTCGTTGGAACTGAGCTTCCGGTGGCACCAACGCACATACAAGTGACCGAAAAGACAGCCAGGGAGCCGTGTGGAAGGATGTAAGAGTCACGTCACGGTCAGACGGTCTGTGAAGGACGGACGGCCAGGAGGTAGGTGACAGGTCCCCAGACCCCTGGCCATCGGTGCCCCTACCCTCGGAGCCCACAGAAAACCCTCCTGAAAAAGTCGCTCGGACTTCTCGGTAGGTGGGTCCCAGAGCCAGGGGTGTGTGTGTGTGTGGGGAGGGCCGGCCGACCAGCCTCCTGTTCCCAGGAAGCGCCGCCGGGCACTGCTCCCAGGGGATGACTGGCGCCTGCGGCTGACTTTCGCTCATTTATGGCCGCCTGGCCCACGTGCCCACAACAGCCGGCACCGGATTCCCCGCGGGAGGCTGGCAGGATTGGTGTTCACTGGGCTGCTCACGTCTGGCCTTACGAGCAAGAGTGACTTTTAGGTCTGGCCGGTGTGGCTCAGTGGTTGAATGGGAGGTCACAGTTCAATTCCTGGTCAGGGCACAGGCCTGGGTTGTGGGCTCGATCCCCAGGGTGGGGTGTGCAGGAGGCAGCTGATCAATGATTCTCTTTCATCACTGAAATTTCTCTCTCTCTCTCTCTCTCTCTCTCTCTCCCTTCCTCTCTGAAATCAATAAAAACATACTTAAAAAATGGCAGAGGCATTACTGAAAAACAAAAACAAACAAAAATACTGGCTTTGGGGCCTTCACACA